GTGTAGGACTTTCCTGCCCTCCTGCCATCCCTTAGGCCTGCACTCTGTCACGCTGGCCGCCATCTTGGCTGGGCTGGACAGCTCTTCCGTGGGCCGGGTTGACAGTGTGACTAGGATCAGAATCTTGGTTTAGATTATTCTGGAGTCTGTTATTATGCAGACTACGGGTTCAGAAAGGCCTAGAAAAGGGAAAAAGAAAATATCATCATGGCTTTCACCTCTCATGTTGCCCTGCTCTTTATTTTTTGAAAGCCCCATATTCCAGTTGGCTTGTTGCCACCAAAGTCCACTCATCCCTTGAGTGCCCACCACCGTGGATGTGAAAGTAGAGAGACACGGGCAGATGCTTTCAAGAAAGGTTTGGTTCTTGCTTCACAGAAGGTGCTTTTCTGCTTCCTGGGGCCTCCAGGTCAGCTTCATAGGAGGGGAAATAATCTATTCACATAGCACCTTTCAACCGACACTATCAGGGCACTTAACATTTGCCCCACATCTCCATTGACTGTGGGAAAAAGGAAAAACAAAAACACAAACAAATAAACGACAGGACATAGAAGACTGCCGGGACGGCCAACTGAAGAGCCTGAATCTTGACGTCCATCAGTTCAGTGAACAGGGATGCTCATCTGTGTTCTGTGTTCTGTGAAGTCTGTTAGGGAATCTCAAGAAAAGGTCTTGATGACCGTAGAGTGGGCCCTGGGCCGTTGTAAGATCAGCCTGTCTCCTCTCTTGCTTTTCTCTGCTAAATGTGCCTTTAAGATTGCAAGATAAGCTCTTTCTCATCTTTGTTAAGAGTAATACTCTTGGGGATCTCTCTCTCTCTCTCTCTCTCTCTCTCTCTCTCTCTCTCTCTCTCTGTCACACACACACACACACACACACACACAACACACTTCTGGCTTTGGAAAATGACATGTTTTATACCTGTAGATTTTTATGACTACTGAAGATTGTTTTCTTTTGCACATGAATTTAAAAAAAAAAACTAAACATTCCCCATGAATATAATTTCCAAGCAAATTACTTTCAGTTTGGCTTACATGAAGTACTCTCTACTAAATATATCTAAGGTGTCTCATATTGTCCCGAAATCATCACACGGCACTTATTTCCTCAAGAGGTAGAGCTTAGATGCTTCAAGGATCCCTTGTAGCTGTGCGTCCTGACTCTGAAGGCTTCTTCTGCCTTGGGGTTCCCACAGCTGGGACGCATATGTGTACACTGTCTGTCAGTTTCTTTTCTTATTGCTTTAATTTTGTTTCCTCCTAAATTTCTCCTTCTAATATTTATATTGGAGACATGAGATAATCACACTGAAACCTTGATTTTGTGGTGCGCATTTTAGTTTTTTCTGTGATATTTTTCTCCTTGCCTTCTGATTTTTGCCCATGCTCCTTGAATTTGCTATTATTTATGTAAGTACAGGGGTGCCCCAGCTCACCAACTAATTCGTCAAAGGATGACATTCATGAACCAAGGCACCTCTGTATTGGGCAAAAAAGTCATCTGTGTAGATGTCTATATATACATGCATATATATATGTATATATGTATATATGTATATATGTATATATGTATATATGTATATTCCCAGGTAAATTGCAATTTTATTTGCCAGACTTCTGACAAAGATTATTCCTGAAGGGAAACACAGCTATCCTGTTCTCTATTAGAGGTGTTCTGTCACCATAGCTTGGTATGGTAAATCTTCATAGGTGCTTGGTGATGTTGGCACTTGTAGATGCCCACTCTGTGGGGCCTAACTCTATCCTTGACTCTACCTTTCCAAGTCATCATTGATTGAAAAAAACCTACACATTTCAAAAGTCTGATGATAGACAGGTGTGGTGGCACACATTTGTAATCCCAACACTCTGGGAGGCTGAGGCCTGAAGATCTCAAGTTTGAGCCCAGCTTGTGGATTTAGCGACTTAGCAAGACTCTATCTAAAATACCAAAAATTAAAAAGGGGGCAGGGGTAGAGACACAATTCAATATGAAGGCCCTGAGTTCAATTTCTAGTATTCTAAATGTAAAAACAAACCAAAACCAAAGATTCCTTCCCCTGCTCATGTGTTTCCTGTGCAGAGAGCAGGTGTATTTTTAGAGGCAGAAGAAATCATGATAGAATTTAAACATCATACTTTTTTGGGTATTTTTCTTGTTGTTGTTGTCATTTTGGTACCTGGTATTGAACCAAGGGCCTGGCACTTACTCTGCATCTGAGCTACATTCTCAGGCATTTTTATATTTATTTTGAGACAGGGTCACCCTGAGTTACCTAGATCTGGCTTCAAACTTGTGATCCTCCTGCCTCAGCCTTTCAGAGCGCTGGGATCACAGCTGTGACTCAGCATCACCCAGGGTCTTGAATGGGTCGGCTCCTTTGGACACACATCTTAGCCTGGCAGAGGCCTATGGTACCCAAGCATGTCCTCCTGCATCTTCAACAGGAAGTGGTTTGGTGAACACACAAGCGTAGAACAGGGTTTACAGTGAAGTTGCATTTTTCCACTCATTTATCTTTGAACCTGCCTGTTCTTCATGAGTTTTAGTGACTGCTATGGAAAAACCCTTTTCCTTGCTGGAGGATCTGCATGACCTAGAGAATGGTTGGTGTGACAGGTTGAAATCTGCCGGGCTGTAACTGCTGTCCTGGTGTTTGGGGAAGGACATTTGAGGGTTTATTGGAAAAATACCTTCTCATAGATCTCTGATAGTCCCAAGATGCTGAAGGATGTGGCCCTTTGCAAGGCACTTTTTGTGGATAGGCCACATTGCAGCTCTCACAAACACCCCAAGGAAGAGGCGTTGTCATTCTACAGAGGCAGAAAGCAATCCTTGGGTAAGTGATAAATACATTCTTCAGTGTGACATAATAAGTGGCCAGGATAGGACATGAAACCAACTCCAGTGAGGCCTAAACCTTGTGTTCTCTCCCTTTGACCTCTTTCCTCCTGAAAAGCAGGTGTCCCCTGTGGTCTTCAGAACAAGGGATGCCTTTTCAGCACAGTAGGAACACACTAGGCTGTACAGATGTGGCAACACCTGCATTTGATTCCTATATTCATATCTCTCACTCTAGTCCCCCAAACAGCTTGCTGTCACCAAAGCATACCAAGGAGTTATTCAATAATGAGTGATGCTCGCACCAGTCCTAAAGGTGTTTTGTTTTAATCAAGAACCTTCTACAGACCCCAAGGCCTGCAAGACTAAGAGAAACCAATGTCTTGTGAATTCAGTTTCCTTGATAAGGTGAAATAAAATAGCACAGACAAGCTGCTTTTCAGTGCCAGAGACATTCCAGCATCTTTTCTGGGCTGACTTTGCAAGAAGAGAAGAAGACTTTGCATGTTGTACTGCTCAATAGAGACCCCGTGCCTGACACAAGGTGGAGGGGCCTTCCTGGTTGGGGGTAGTTGTACCAGAAGCCACCAGAGGGCAGCAGAGGGCCGGAACTGCTGATGAATCTAATATGGAGGTTAATTTCTCAGAAGGCAGAGCAGTCCGGAAAGGCGCGAGGGGACTGCACCAACTAGTGCTGGGATACTCTCCTAGGCAGAGCCCTTCCTTGGAACCAGTGTATCTGTCCTCCAGCTGGGAACTGCCAGCCCCGAGGCTGTTCCCCAGCAGAGTAACCAGTGATTGACCAGTGCAGACATGCAGAGGCCTAGCTCCCTGCCTTGGTTTGTGACAGTTATCAAGGGCTCATGGAAGCACTAGAGGCTCAGGACTGGTTGAAGCCTTAATCTTGGGTCAGCTCCCGTTTCTGTCCAGTTCTGCCTCCCTGAATTCTTGTGGGTATATCAGACAGTATCTCTTACTAACAAGCCTCTCCAGAGTTGATTTCTGGGGGACCCCAAATAAGACACGCATCTACATTTGTGGAAAAGGCTGTCATGTAAGCCAGAGGAGTAAAGACAGAGACGGCATTTAGACTGGAGCCTTCATGGGACGTGAGCAGACTGTCCAAGGTTGGAGCTGGAAGCCGACATGGGAAGAAAGGTATCAGGCTAGGATTAGCAGAGCAGGGATTCAACTAAATCCAGTTCAAAGCCCCAGGTAGCACTGGGGCCATGGTAGCCAGAACTAAGAGGGAGGGGCGAGAGAGGTAAATTTACTTCTGCAGCACTAAGCAGACCTGACTTTCCACTGGCTGGGCTGGAGGGCTCCACACCTTCCCTCCTGTCTACACTTCTCAACACTGAGGGGCTGGCTGCACCCCAGACTCTAGGCCCCTCCTAGGCCCTTTGCATATTTTCCTGGACTGCAGTTGAGATTACTCCCTCCTGGGCTGATCACTCAGCGGGGCTAACAGAGCATGGTCAGCCCCACTTCCTGGGAACATTTGGCCAGAGGAGGCGGGCAAACAGTTCTCCTGCATCTGGGTTCTTTTCCAATTTCCCTGAAATTATTTTTAACTCTACGCCTTGTAGGTCATTTCCTATTTTCAGGTCCATAGTCAGATTTTTTCCACCTAAGAGAGGACTGATGTTTTTCCTTGCTTCAGCAGGTCTCCCTCTGCCTAGCTTCCCATTGTTAAAGAAGCAGATGCCAGTGATCCTGTGCAGGAAGCCCAGTGATTTGGAGCGTGTGCTGGAGGCTGGGCCTCCACAGGGAGATGACTGCACGGCCTATGGATTAATGCACTATTATTACATTATTCTTCAGGCTTCAAAGGTCTGCCAGGAGGGCTAAGCTCACTATCTAGTCCATGACATTTTAAGAACAAATAATACATTAATATATTTAATTTGAGAATAAACACATACATTACAGGCAGGGGATTTGGTCTATGCTGATAAGGCACCAAATGACCTTTCCAGAGCAATCCCAGCACACAGAGCGGAAAAGGGGCCTGTTCCAAAAACCCTTCTGTATCCGTGGGCTGTAATGTGCAGGCCTTAGTGCAGGTTTGGCCTGCGCAGAGCTGCAGCTGCTGTGCCTCGGAGATGGGAGCTGGAGCTATAATTACCCCTTCGACACTAATCTGCAGAAACACTAAATCTCGTTGCCTCAAATTAGTTAATCAATTAAGTGTCAAACCACAAAATGTTGGAGATTTGGGTTTGTATTTATTATCTTGGCAGGGACTTCCTCCCTAGCCCTTGGCTTCCTTTCCCTTCTCCTTGCAGCGAAGCTGGCTTTTAAAAATGACCAGTCACTCATTGTTTATTTCTGGCTGATTAGTAGAACAGTTGAAGTTACATAAGCCTGGCGCCCAGGACTGAAGCAGCCCCAGACTGACAGCTCGGCCTGTGTTCAGGCAGCACCGTGGACCAGCATGGCTGGCGCCTTCCCTGGGACAGATTTAGAGGAGCACAGGCCCACACCAGCCTCCTCCCTGTGTGCGCCTGTGTTGGGGCCTGGGGTCATCAATGAAGCAGGAATCTCCTTTGCTGTTGCATCACTCTCAAGGTGAGCGAGGAATGGGCAGTGGTATTTCTAGAATTTCCTGCTGGGTATCTATTTTCCCTGGGTTCCCAGCTTACTGTCGCCAACGTGGGGCCCAGGGGGACCAGGATTCAGCAGTAGGGGTCCCCCAGGTGCTGGGCCCAGGCCTCCGGATCTGGCTCCCTGGGGGTCTTGTTGCTTCCTCTGCCATGAACCCCAGCCTGTCCCTGCCACTTCCACTCATGGGAGGCACACAAACGGGCTCATCGTCAAATCTCAGCTTGGCACAGCCAGATGGTAAAAATCACCCTTGAAGGTAAAAGTCACGCTGTGAAAACCCAGAGTCAGACCTAGTCCCAGTATTTCAGGAATCTACAGTATCACTGAAAGGACAAAGACTTACATATTTAAGGATAAAAATGACCCTCAGGACAGCGTGTATATATTCAATCAGGGAGCTCATACCCTGCATATACCCTACTCCTGGAGACAGTACGACTTGCTTAGGGTGAATAAGCTGCTCAGTGGCTCCCAGCAGGGGTCTGTGGACTTCTGCCCATCCCTGGTAATCACACTGGGGAGTTGAAATGTCGTTTCCTTGTGAAATGATAGTGGCAGTAGATTATCATTTGTGATGCCTTTATTTGTTGAAATAAGTCGACAGTACTACTTAGATCCACAAACTTCTTTTGACTTCTTTTTTTCATTTTGAAACTTTACTTCTCCAAGAAATTCAAAAGTCTAAAGGGGGCCACATCGGTGTTTGAATTAAATCCTATCACCTTCTGGTTGTAGCTGAGGAGCTTAGAGACGTTAGCGCATGTTTGCTGTCTTTCCTGTGTATCTGTTTTGATCTTGATTCCTTCAGGCCTCTCAGATTTGGGGGCAGTTAGAACTTCATTCCAATGGGGTCACATGGGTAACACAGGCTGCTGGCTTTCACTGAAAATGTCAGTAGGAATTCCAAACAGATACAGCAACTTCACAGCCAGGAGAGATAGTAGATGGCCTAGAGGCCACACTTGAATTTTAGAACGGGGGAACCCGAGGCTCAAAAAGAGGATGGGTCTACCTCCAGAGCGATGGCCAGCGTGCCAAGTCGGAGTCGATGTCCCGTCAAATAGTACGTTGCTTCTTCTCAGCCCTGTGGGGGCCTCAGGGTCCTGCAGCTGCTTTGGTCTTTGTCCCTGAACAGCCTTCATCACCAAAGCTGCGGCAGGACATGGTGGCTTGAGCATGGAAAAGGCGGCTGTAGGATTATCAGGTTCAGGTTTCCCCGCAGTCCCTTTTTGGCATCTCCTTGGCCCAGGTCGGTTGACTCCCAAGGATTCACCTTAGGGTTTGATGAGGAGAGAGCACACTGTATTTGAATCTTACAGTGTGGGTGAGTGCTTCATCTGGGTGTGTCCCCTTATCCATCCTAGAAAAATGGGTAGAACTTACCTAGCAAGCTGCTGTGAGAGGCAACACAGTAGTTTTATATAAAGTGCCAGAGACAGACTAGGTATGCAAAAGTAGAAATGTTTCTTCCAATTCTTTGTGAGTCTCCTCAAACTGAGAAAACTAGTGGCGGGAGGGAAGATACTGTTAACCCTAAGGGTCTCAGGGATCCCCTTTCAGGCTTTGTGGCCAGATTAATCATAGGCTTCCTGGAAGCCCTGAGGCACTCCAACAGTTTAAATAGAAATGAAAAAGACCAAACTGAAATGGACAAGATGCTTTAAACTGCACTGAATATTGGGTATTCGAATCCCAATGATTTTAGCAGTTTTAGTTCAGCCATGAGGAGTGGCTTTTAGAATGGGGTTTAAAAAGCCCCCTCTACCTTTTCTAGGCAGGCACTTCCTGGAGCTTGGAAGTTGGGGCGTGGCTCCAGGCCTCAGGGGGCTCTGTGGGTGCCATGCCCATTCACCAAGCCGGGGTCTTATAATCGTCCATTTTAAATTCAGTCCTCTTTCCTGTCCTTAGCATTTCAGAATCTTTCATTTTAACATTCCCTAAACACATATAAAACGATGCAGAGAAATTCCTGGAAACGGCCGAGCCTCTCTCTCCTCCAAGACTGGGGGTGAGCTAGTGAGTCACTCTGGCTCTTTGCTAGCCTGCCTGCTCCAAGACACGCAGTGAGGCTGGGCTTTTGTTTCTCCCTGTGATGATTTACGCGCGTGGACCCTGGGTAGGGAAGAGTCGAGTATCAATTTTGCTGGGTTACCGTGTTAAATGACCGATGCATGGATGGTTATTGCTGCCTCGGGAGCAAATGAAAGCCCTTTGCCTCCCTGACACTGCTGTCCCCCCTTGGCTGATGATCAGTTAAAAATGTAAATAAAAAGACTGCACTTTGGAGAGAGTAGGCTCAGGAAGGGGTGGGGGTGGAGAAATTGCAAAAGCGAAGTTTATTGATCCCCTGGTCAAGATTGATGGCACAATAAGAGCAGGAGGCGAAGAGTGATTTTGCTTTTGAAAACGTTGATGAATAAGCACTGAGGGGCAACAAATAGCTGGGCTCAGCCAGTGATGGACGGCAGTGGGGGAGCGGGATGCATTTTTATAAATGGGTGAAAGGAGAGGAGGACTTATTAAAAAAATGAATGACCACATGTGGCAGGGATATGCCAGCAGGGAGAAGAAAGCCATTGATTTATGTGTACTACTGGCATTTGAAAATTCAATAATAACATTGACAAATGAGAGGCAAACCTGGCCACAGGACAGCGCTGAGCCAGGAATGGAGAAAGAAAATGCCAAGGTCAGAGAGAAGGAACAGAAAAACACGCTTGTGTTGGAAAGCCTTTGCATTAACTCATCTCTATAAAGACATTAAGGAGCAACCCCAACTGCTGTCGGCTGCCCTTGCCATTGATGGGGCACTGGAGGAGGTGTGCACTGGGCAGCTGGCCTGAGGGGCTTCTGGCTCTCCCACTGGCCATTTCAGTGGCCAGCCTCCCATGGGCCTCTGTGCCTTGTTGTCTGAGTCCAGAGCAGAAACACGCTCTCATTGGGGGTGCACCTGCGACACAGCTTCTGTCCCGAGTCACCTCTCACTGTGGTCCTTTGCGGTCTGATCTCCCCCGGGAGACTGCTGTTCCTGCTCACCCCAGAGTAGGCATATGTCACTCCTCTGCTTGTGAGGCCTGCACTCCCTGAGGACAGGCCTCTGCCTGGTGTCCCTGTGGAGCATCATGGGTTTTGCAAATGACCGAGGGATGGTAACACACCAGGTCTTTGACGCAGACACACATCAGTTCCTCTGAGCCCTCTCCCTTTCCTACTCAGTCCTGTGGCTTTGCAGACAGAATATCTTTCCCTCCACCCTGCGTCTGCGTGCTGGGCTTGCTGTGTGCTTCTTCGAGGTGAAGAGTGCAATGTGACCCTTGACGCGAAGGGTTTGGAAGTCACTGGCGCAGTATTCAGCTTCAGACACAGCTGTGACAGAGCTCTCTGCGCCTGTGCTGTCTCCATGCCATCGCAGGTCTTCTGGGGTGTCTCTGCTAGCTGCTCTGCTGTGCTGAGTTTGCTGTGCTCCAGGCCACTCACTGTGCTATTGTGCTGAGCTCTTAGTGCCGAGGGCCTGGAAATACAAACACACACACTTGCCCTCCCGCCCTCCTTGTTACACACACACCCCTTCCTGCATTTGCTCACATGCACGCTCACATACTTGTTTTGCAACACGCTTTATCATACTCATGCACACCCACACGTTCATTCACACAGTCACACTCATCTGCTCACACTCACACATCTCACAGCCATGCAGTCTCCCTGTTCCATGCCTACACACGCTCTCACATGCTCTCCCCATGCTGTCACATGCATTCCCTCACATGCACACCCACATTAGCACACTCATGCTGACCAGCCCTTGTTGGGCGGAGCACTCTACATGAACAGCCTTTGACCTCTGACCTGCACCTGCCTCCTGCTTTCCACAGCTCCCTCTGCACCTGCTTTTAGCTACTAGCATCCTGACAGGGCCATGGACTGGAGGTGGGATTTGGGGACAGTGACACTCTGGCCACCTATTCACGCCCTGTCTTTTGTTTCCTGGCTCTGCAGCAAATGGCAGAGCAGTGTGGGCAGAAGAAACCCTCCAGGAGAAGAAAAGAGGGCTATTCCATTGTCAACCAGTCTCCAGCCCTGCTGGGGCCCAGGCTGCTCCCTGTGAAGCTGTTTCCAAATGCTAGACGGTGGCAGGGGACTGGAGCAGCAATATGAGCCCCGGCTAACAGAGTCCTGGAAAAGTCTGGAACCTCCATCTCCCCCAGGGACCAGAATGGCCACTGGGCCCGAGGTGTCTGCATGTACGTGGAGTCCACAGAGGGCCTTGTAGGCCTCCGCAGGCCTCACTGGCTGTCTGCCCCTCCAGGGCTCAGAACAGGGATTGGCACCAGGCAGTGCCTCTGTAAATACCTGCTAAATGAATAAACCAACATGGGGTACGTCACACAACTGAAGAAGGAAGTATCCAGGCAGTGAGGACGGGACCTCGGCTTTGCTTCTGAGAATGTAGAAGCCTTACTAGAGAGGGCAGCACTCGGACTCCGCATTCAGGATGAGGATGATCCAGGAAGCTCTCCTTGCAGGGAGCTTCCCGCAGGGAGTGGAAGGGCGACCTGGAGACCTGTCTGCAGAGAGAGGGACAGCTCTGGTGGCAGGAAGCTGTGAATCCAACAACAGCAACAGTCACGGCACTGTTTGAGTGCACTGCAGACTCTGGTTCTCATACCCAAGGGAACCAAGGCCCACGGGCTGTGAGCAGCCTCCTGCCATCACACAGACAAGCCGGGCTCAGGTCAAGTCCAGGTCAGTCCAGCCCAGAGTGCTGGCCCGTGTGGAGTCCCCTTGCTGGTGGAGAAGCCTGCCCCGTGGCTGGCCTCTGCTGTATGGTGTGGTTCTCAGAGAGCCCTGGGCTCTTCCCTGGCCTGGAAGATGGAGGGCCTTGGCCTATGGCTTCCCCTCAGGGATGATCCAGGAAAGAGGTGCCAGGCATTTTGGGGGAGGCTTGCTGGGCATCGGGATGAGACCAACCCTACACAGGGTGATCTTTAGTCACAAAAAACAACCAGGCCACAAAGCAGCAGCGCTGGAAAGTCCAGGTGTAATCTGAAGAGCCCTCTCTCATCCTGCAGGGTCCTGGCTCCTGCAGTGTGAGCTGCGATAGGAAGGCCACTCTGTCTGGTCAGTGGGAGCCTCCCTTCAACTCCATGGTGTGTCCTTCTGGCCTCCTCCCAGCCCCACTAGAAGGTCTTGGTCTATTCAACAGCTCAAAGGGAAATGGAGGTGGGAAGAGACTCACTGGTCCTGTGCAGGTACACAGCTGGGCAGATGGCACTGCCCGTCAGTGGTCTTATGGGCTATAATCCTTCTCAGCAAACTAAGAACCAAGAAGAAGGTTCTCATGCATGGGCAGCTGCTAATGAGTTCACCCAAATTCTGTTTCCTGAAGGAGCATGTCCCAGAAGGCATGGGGCACACGGTGTACAGCATAAGACTCCTCAAGGGCCAGGGAGCATCTTGTCTATCTTCACGTTCCCCCCTCCCCCCCCCTTGCCTAGGACGTCATTGAGTTCATGTTTGTATTTGCTGCCTGAATAATAAAGGTTGGTTTTCCTTTAAGCCTCGCTTGCCATGTGGCTTGTGTCTGTTTAGCTGAGATGAATCCTCCAATCCAAAGTATTTTTCCCCTAAACTTTTATTCTTTTTTTAAAAAAAATAAACAAGTCTGTCATTTACCACAGAGTACAAATTGGGGTACAGAGATAGGGTGTGGGGAAAGGGAGGAGGGGGCCGCTACTCCCTTAGGAGTCCCTTGTTGCTTAGGGAAGACAAGGCGGTAAGCTTAACCCTGGTTTCTTTTGCTGGCTGGGAGATTCCGGATGACTCTCTCTCTCTCTCTCTCTCTCTCTCTCTCTCTCTTTCTCTCTCTCTCTCTCTGTCTCTCTGTCTGTCTCTCTCCCTCCTTTCTTTCCCCCCTCCCTCTCCCACTCCTGCTTGGTTCTTCTCCTCCCAGTGGTGGGTGTGGGACTCAGGGCCTGGCACACACTAGGCAGCTGCCTGCCCATGGTGTATATAACGTGACATTTCTCTACCAAGGGCCGGGCTGCCTCAGCCTCTCAGCTCCTGGAGGGGTCTGCGAACCAGCCTGAGGGGCAGGGAGGCAAGGGCTCTGCTGGGCCGAGTGCCAGGAAGAGGCCCAGGCTCTTCCTCGTCTGCTTTCTTGACCATTGAGGTGGGAAGCGGGGCTGAGCAAGGTGAATCTGCTCTGCCAGTTACTTTCAGACACATTTAACTTTTCTCCTGTGGAGCCATGCAGATTCTCCTCCCTGCACCCAAATCATCCCTCCAGGCCCATTCTGTGACCCTAAGCGCATCTCAGAGCCCAGGTTTCTTTTCTGCACAGCGAGGACAACACCAGTGACCTCATAAAGCAGTGGTTGTGCTGCGTATGCACCACATCGAGGAGAAAGGCGGGAAGCGCACAGCCCCAGCTCCATGTATGCAAAGTCTTCACCTCTTCCCCTGGCTATGGGCTCAGGGTTAGATGGGGTGGGTGGAATCATCTGCTTTAAGTTAGTCTGTTCCTCATCTGATCACTTTTTGGCAGTGGGACTGATGCTTTTCATCCAGTCTTCCCACCCCCAAGCTGCCACGGGCCCTGGATTCTGTCAGAGCCCTGGAAGTGGTGGGATGCAGTCAGCCAGCCAGCCAAACAAACAGAGAAAGGTGGCAGTCTTTTGGTGAGAGAGTCTGAGAAAAATGTCCCTTCATTTACTGCTGGAGGGGTCAGGACAAGGATGAGGTCCCACTGCTGGGTGAGAGGAGTTGAATCCTGTTGTTTCCTCTGTTGTGAGGCTGAGAACTCAGAGGCCCTCACAGTCACATGGGAAAGACCAGAGTCACGAGAGATACTCTGTTTCTCAGATTTGTTTTTCATTGCTATTTGCCATAAATCTTGACACCAATCGTGGACTGAGATGCACTTGTGGGATGGATGGGTCAGCACTGACCGTTTCCTAAATATGTCATGGTAACATTAACTTCAGACATAGAATGAGAGAGAGAGAGAGAGAGAGAGAGAGAGAGAGAGAGAGAGAGAGAGAGAACTCTGTGGGATTGGGTGCCATGTGATGTTCAGTATTTAGGAACTAGGGAATATGCAACTTTTTTGTTGGCAGGCCCACCCCACAGGCAAACAACAATCCAGCAAGAATTCTGGGTGGTAAACATACTATTTCACTTCCTTATTGCAAGATAAAATATATCAACTGGATGGGGAGAGGATTAAGAAAGAAACCAAAAAATATTAATAAAATTGTTTCCTTTGGATTTAGTGCCTGGTACAAGAAATATGAATCCTACTTACTCCCTATTTTCCAGGGCAGGCTCCTTGGTCTCTGCCTTCCTGTGCATCATCTGCAAAATGGGGAAAATGTTAATGATCACTATCCTCTTGTTAGGATGAGCAAATAAGTTAAGGTACATGAACCATGCATAGTAAACCTTCAACAATGGCTATGAACCATTGATGTTATTCCCATGAAAAGTGTCCTTCACCTGCAAGCTCCCTGAGACAGCTATAGAATCATCTGCCCTTGGTGTTTAGCATAGTGCTTGGTATTAACAGACAATAAATAGACAAATATTTGTTGACTAAATGCACAGCAGATGACTTGTAAAGGTGGTCCAAGTTGTTGACTTCATTAAGCATTGTAAGATGTAATTCATCGCCATGAGGGTAAAGTTGGTTCCCTTTCCTGGTTAGAGCAGCTTCCAGATTTCAGTGCTGACTATGTGTCCACAGAATAGTGAGGTGCTGGGACTCTGAGCCTCAAACCAAGGGAATGTAGGGGATGTAGAGATGCTAGAGAAGCATGTGCCTCTAGTTGGGAACTGGGGGAACTGGGGGATTTGGACAGATGCTAACAGTGGCATCAACGGTCTTCAGAGCATAACCATGTAAGTCAGCCACTCCCTCAAAATGCAGCTTGCAGAGTCCATGTGGTCTTGGTGAGGGCCAGTGGTCAAGGGGAAAGGGGCTTGCCATGGGGTCAGGGTGATGGGAAGTGAGGAGCCTTTCTCTGAAGCATCTGTGCTTATCTTAATGGGCAAGGTCAGCAATGAGATGACCAAGAAGAGAAATTGCTGCCATTATGCGTCAGTTGCAATCTTATATCAATTATTCCCTGCACCATTCCCTTTGCCACGGGCTGAAGCAAACATGGCCCTAATCAGTTTTACATCTCCGCTTAATTTTATTGGAAAGAAGAGCTGGCAATGCATCACAGAGGCCGGGTGTGACATGAAAGGTGACCCCCCTGCCAACTTAATGGCACAATACATAACCCTTAATGAAGTTGCTATCTTGTCCCTCTTTGGCTGTCTCAGCCCCGTGATTTACGACAGCATCATTTTGCTTTGCCCTCTTTTCATTTCAGCTTTGACAAAGTGGATGAAACAATTATCTTCGTTATCGGCCAGAGCAGTAGGAATGTGACAGTTGGGGGATTTCTGCAGGTGGACAGCCTTGGCTGGAAATCAAACCCAATAGTGAAATGTGCTTGGGAATTGTTTCCCCTTTTCCCCCTTCCTCCAATGATCATGGGCTCTGAGATGAATGGTGTACACCAATGAACACTGTGAGTCCTATATCACTGTGGCAAGAAGTAATTCCAGGAGAAGAGGAAGCCACAGACAGAGGAGAGCTTGGAGCTTTGCAGGTAGCTCTCTCTGAGCTCCTGGCATTTGTTTCTCCTGCATGATCAGACCAGGTTGTCTATCACACCATCCTCCTACATCCACCTGTGTGAACAACTCATGCATTTTTCTACATTATAAATGATACCTTGTATTTATGCAGCATAATAAAAAGTAATTACTCTACTCACTTATACAAACATCTATTGGGTGCCTTCCAGATGTTAAAGGAAAATAGATGTGTGGAAGAAAGGTGAAGGAGTAACTATGACTTTTATCCTCAAGAAATGGAATAGTCCAGCAACAGAAAGGAGACACAAACATAAATGAGTGTGTCAAGGGTAGGAAGAGATGAGCATAACAAGATGAATAAGCAGTGGCCCCTGTGGTTGTTTAGAGGAGGAAGTTGTTTCCAAAATGAGGGTGCAAGACCTTTTAAAGGAGGCTGAATGTGAACAAATAGAAAATGAAAATCCACGTACACTGTAATTTAATAGTGTAGATATGTGAATGCATAGGCAGCCATATAAATGGGCCAAATTTCACTAGAAGCTTCCAGTTACTTTGGCCAAGGGACATGAGGAAAAGAAGATAGGATCTACTTTGGGCAGAGCAATGCTGAGACCACTGTTACATCTGTGGCTCCAGATACTTAGCTGGGGGAGGGAATGTAGCATATTGTGGAGGGCTCAGAAAATGTAGGTGTGCTGAGAACTTCTGGTGGGTAGTGGGGCTAGAACTTGCTCAGGTTGAGAGGCAGAGACTATCTTGTCTGCCTTGGGCTGGCATTCCTGCCCTGTACCCTGATCATGTGCCAGAAGTGCATGGCAAGGACTTGGACATCTTTTTATCTAGGTTTAGACTTGCAAAGTCCATTATAGTGGAGATTTACGGATGCTCAAAGGTAAACACATGTTGTCATTAGCTGCATGACATCTTCTCCGGGCTCTATGTCTTGCTAATAGATAGGCTTACAAAATTCAACTCCAAGTATCTTTCTTTCTATTGTATTGGGCTCAGAGAATTGCAATTAGTTTTTGCTGGCTTATAGATTCTATGAAGTCCAAAGATAATTGATTGGAGGTTCTTTAATCAATGAGGCTTGGCAAATATCACCTCAATGAGGCTTGTGTTATAAATGGAACTTTCGGAATGGTGAGTTTACCCACAACATTCTTCTCAGTAGAGCTAAAATGTTGATATGGTTAATTGGGATTTTAAATGGATCCTTTGTATATATCTGCATGTAAGTCAATTTAAAAATAAATACATCATATCAGTTGATATATGTGTATACCAAACAATTGTCCCCAGAAATGTCAATGTACAACCCATTTAGTGTCTGCCCCTCTGCTCACCCTTGCCCTGCAGTGAAGAGGGCAGGGAGGTAGGCAGTTTTGCACCCTGAGTATAGTTCAAAAAGAAGCCCATGGTAAATATATAACCTTGAAGTTATATGTTGGCATGGTGGTCGTTTAAGTCTACAGTGAAAAATATTAGAAGCAGTGCGAAAATAACAGGTGGAGCTTGATGTGTAACTAAGATACTAGTGGTCAGATTCTGAGAGACATGGATGGAGTCTAAAAGAGCTTTGATGCTTTAGGCCCTGGGGACTGAACACAAGGCCTTTGCCCTGAGTGATATCTCTAGTCCTTTTAACTAATTTTTTTAAAATTTTGAGACAGGTCTTGCTAAATCATTATATTGCAGAGGTTGGGCTCAAACTTGTGATGCTCCTGCCTCAGCTTTCTGGAGTGCAGCACAATGTCTGGTGGCAAGCTCCTGTCTGTACATCCAAGCACGGCTGTGTCCTTCCTCCCCTCACCTGCCTGGACCCTGCATCCTACCCCCGCAAGCACTCTGCTGTGCCCACAGAGGGACATTGTGAAACCCTGACCGTAATTTTGTCCCGATGCGTGCCT